TACTACTTTCCGAAGTATGTTATGTTTAGTAAAAGCGTATGCTGTTATTCTCGCAATAGTTAGTTTTATAATTTATTTCAAGACTACTTTGTAGAAAAGCGTATTTTGTTAGTCTCTTAACACTACGTTTTATAATTTATATCAAAACTACTTTTCAAAAAAGCGTATGCTGTTAGTCTCTTAACATCAAATTTTATAATTTATTTCAAAACTTTTTAGAAAAGCGTATTTTGTTAGTCTCTTAAGACTAAGTTTTATAATTTGTATCAAAACTACTTTTAAAAAAAGCGTATGCTGTTAGTCTCTTAACATCAAATTTTGTAATTTATTTCAAAACTACTTTTTAGAAAAGCGTATTTGTTAGTCTTTTAACACTAAGTTTTATAATTTGTATCAAAACTACTTTTCAAAAACGCGTATGTTGTTAGTCTCTTGACATCAAATTTTATAATTTATATCAAAACTACTTTTCAGAAATGCGTAGTGCTGTAAATCTCTTAAAATTAGGTTTTATTATTTATATCAAAATACTTTTCAGAATAGGGTATGCTGTTGGTTTCTTTATCATTAGAAGTTTTAGATTAAAAGTTTAAATCATTTTTGTAGCAAAATGCTAGCCTGTCAAAAAACTAATAATAAAATTTAAAAGAATAATAAAAAGTAATTGATACAAACCAATGCTTTTAATTACAATTATTATTATTTACTGAAAAGATTTTTCGAACTATCTTTTAGTATATCAGAGTTCTAGTTCGAAACATGATTTCAAGAAAAACGCGATTAAAGTTAATGAGTGGAAAATGCTAATGCTCGAAAATCTTTCTAACGATTTAGGAAGTATTAATCGTTTTAATGTATTTGATAACAATCTTAGGATACAAATTTTTTAACCTTTTTTTTCCAGTTGGACAATATTTTTCTCGTTAAAGAAATATATTTGAATACAGACGAAAGTTTTGAAAACTTCATCTACATAAAATAATTAAGTTGTTAGTATATTATAATAGTATAAACAAATAGTTTAAATCCATCATTTAATTACATTAAGTCATAGTAATCTTAACAATTAAAAATTTCTTGAGAAACCATTGTGCCTAAAATAATAATAATGAGAGTATAAATATTTAAAATGTAGATGAAATAAACTATCCGTAATGCAGTAAGTTATTTTGCATCAAAATATGCGTCCAAGTTCATGTATTAGTAAATAGGGCGAAAGTCTTTAAAAGAACGTGAATATCTACTTCTCTTTATGTTTGTTCAAACTCAGGTGTTTTCTTATATGAATCATTGATTTAAGAATAAAAAAAATCAAAATAAAACTCGAGTTTTGGAATTCATTGAGTAAAGACAGCAATTTTTATTATAAAGCAGGTGTATTTATCAAAATATAACTATGTCATCATTTATTTTACTATCTGTTAACGATTTGATTAATTGTTTGAAATTTTTCTGCGACAACTTTAAACATGTTCAGCTGAAACGGCGCTAGATGGCAGCACGAAAATAAATTTTCACGAAAACAAGATACATAAATTATCCGTTACCGTAATGAAAAATAATTTTTGATAAAATAGTTTTTTTTAAAGAGAAATAAATATAATTTTGCGACTGTTTAATGATTACATATATTTTTTTCATGCTATTTGCCTTTACTTTAAGATAATCAAAGAAAAACAAGCTTTATTAAATTGACTAATAGTTTTACAAATATTATTTATTTATTTAAATAGTTATAATATTGTATTGGTATAAATTTTTGTTTCATGTTTTCAAATAATTTTATGTTTGTTTAGCGATGGAAAAAAAAACTAATTGTTTACGAGTGCATTAATTTCTTTTAAACATATGTTATTCATACTTTCCTTTTTTGATAATGTTTGGCCGGAGCATGAAAGATATCTTAAACTAAATAAGCTGATCTTTATTTTTATATAAAGATATATTATAAAGATAATATTTATATATTTATCTTTTACAGGTGCATATTGTCGTAGTTTTTTTTAAAGAAAAACATGCATATTTTATTTTTCTTGGATATTTTTTCATGGATTTTCAGTTATTTTTATATATTTTAAATAGTTTTTTATTTTTATTTTATAAAGATTTTTGTTATTTTTATAGATTTTTGCAATTTTGTATTAAATACATAAAGGCAAATTACTGTAAAGTATCTAAAATGTACCTATTTAGTATTATATGCAGTAATCTTTAACAGTTTTGTGATGCATTGTTTTAAAATTGAAAAAAAAAAAAAGATTGTGAAAAAAAAGGCAATAAAAAAAAGTATTAATTTCATTTGACTTCGGGAAAAACGAAACAACTATTATACTTTAAATTTGAATACGGCTGTGCATGTTTTAGGGAGGGGCGGTATATGTTCCCATTAATAATTAGAAATCTCTTAAAGTCCCTCTCAATATATCAAACAAATAAAGAAAATTGTTATGAATTATCATTGATGTAAACTCATCAAAGTTAAAAACGAGAAAGAGATAAAAATAATCGAAATTTTTGCAAGCATTTAACAGACATAAGATTTCTTTTTTCTTTTCTTCTTCTTTATTTCTTCTCCTTCTTTCTATTGTGAGAGCTAATGTGACTGTGTATCTTAAATTCGCCCCCCTCAAAAATTAGACCCCTGCAACGCTCATGTCGCCATGCAAAATTTGAAAATTCACGTAAGACACAAAAAGTTCTAAATTGAAATTTTTACATATTTCGCATTGTTGTATGATAAAATACATATTGCAATTTTTTTTTTCGAAAATCATTATTTTAACCAGTTTTCTGGAATTCTTTTTTGGGCTTGATAGTATTAGCAAAGAAAGGATAATAATTGTCAAGCCACTTTCCTCAAAATCTTTTATGAAGCACTTTTGCTTTTTTTTAAAATACTCGACAGAATACAAGTTTTTTTTAACCATACTAGTTGTAAGCAGTTTCAAAACCGTAAAGGTAAAAAACATTCTTTGCCGCAAACTTTACGGTTAATTGGATGAACAGACTGCTGCCGATTATTTTACCATAATTTTAGAATAATTAGAATTTTAGAAGATATATTTAGAATACAGGCGTCTAAAATATGCAAAATTTCTGCACGTCAGGTTCCTTTAACAATGCAAGATTTTTACTTCTAAAAACCTTAAACTGTTCAATCCGTTAAAAAAAAAAAAAGACGAAAATAGTGTAAGTGATTATGTGATGAAATAAGATCACTAGAAAGTTTTTCTCTGTTCAGAGTTTCTTTAATTTTTAGAGAGCATGGCAGAATTTTTGTGTTTTCTAGGATACTTATACCTATGCCTACGGTAAAGAAGGATAATTCACCGTTTAGCCTTTTTATTGAATTCACAACCAAAGTTGTGGACTCGGTAGTAGAAATGTTCTACTAAAATTCCAGTCCTTATTGAGAGCTGGTCTTCGATTTAAGTCTTATTAAACTTTTAATTTTTCTTTTAATAAAATTTCTTTAATTTTATTTAATTTCAATAAACTAATATAATGAAGCGAAATTAAATTTAATTACTAATTTTTAATTTAATAATTTTATTTTCAATTTAATAATTTTTCTTTTTTTTGGCATATATTTTTTTTTTCAATTTTTTGTCATTTCTTATGCGCTATTAAAGGTGTTTCAATTAGAATGGCATTTTATATTTTTAAATAACAATTAAATATATATTTGTACAAATTATTGAAATTATCGAAGCTCATAAAAGAAAAGAGCTGGACAATCTCAGTTGCAAATTCTCACATAAACTATATTATTACAATGCTGTTGTATAAGTATCTTGTAACATGAGGATTTTTTAGTGAATATTCATGAAATTGAAACTGTTACAAATGATGCATCTTTTTAATTAATTTTTCAATTCTTCATTCTTATTCAATAATTTTTCCTTCCTTAACTAATCATAGTTGGTTTAGGAATTTATAAATCAAAAATTATTTATTAATTATTCATTTATCAATATCCATTTTTTAATAGTTTCAATAATGTTTCGTGTTCTTATTCAGCACTTTCAAACATAGACTCAAAAGCGTTTAAATGCGATAAATTAAGTACTTGATAAGCTGTAATTTAAATAATTGTCATGATATGTCATGATTTAAATAATTGTCATGATATGTCATGATTTGAATAATTGTCATCATTAATATTTTTATTCGCATAATCATAAATATTTGTCTGAATAAAAACCTTTGTTATTATATTAACCTAAAGACCTAAAATTTTTTTTCTGACCTGAGTTCAACGTAATTCATAAGTTCAACATGTTTCATAAGTTCAACATGATTCATAAGTTCAGCATGATTCATAACATAGCTCTGAATTTTGATTCATAACATATGATTCATAACATAACTGCTGAATTTTCATTAGCTCCCATCCCAGAAATCTGTTTTTTACTAATAATTTTTTCTATCTACTCATTCACCAAAATTTCAGATAAAAAGAGAAAAAGTTGGTTTAATAGTTTTTAAAAATCAATTATGTATATGCATAAGGACTTTGCACGAGAAAGACTTATTTTCGAAATGTCAATAACAAACAAATTCATCATTCAATTGATCAATATAGTCATTGATATGATGGAATGATTGACAGCAATTTATTACGATTTCTTGTCAGATTCGAATACATTCTGTGTTGCATCTCACACATACCATTCAGTTATTCGTCCATGTTATGCTAAGAATTAAACGTTAATTCTTTTTCATTTAAAACAAACTTATCGTACATTATTTGTATATTATAAAATCGATTTTGGTTTCATTTTTCTTTTCAGCTTTTGAACCTTCTCTGGTTAAAATAATGAGTGATGAAATAAAAGATGTAAATAATATATTTTTATATTATTTTTAAGACAACAGTGAATGATCCATCAGTATTTGTTTTTACGATTCACTTATTAAATTATGTACATTCAATATGACAAATATGTTGTTTGTATGCAAAATGTATTAATGAGATCTTTTTCCTCTTTCCATCGTAGGACACAGTGACCTTATGTACTCTAGGTATTGGTACGGCGTTTGGGGAGTCCATATTGGACAACAGTCCCCACAGTGCAACAGTTGTCACCAACGAACATTGCGAACTGCTAAGGATAGAACAAAGAGATTTCAAAACAATATGGGAGGTAAGAGTTTTCAATGGACTTATTATTTATTTATATACTCTTTTTGAAAACCATTAGATATATACATGATTCGAGTTAAGTTTGAAGAGGATAAAATGAGAATACACTGTAATAATAGTTCGCTAAATTCCACACATAAGAAAAAATTTGTCTGAAAGTTTGTTTGATTTCTTTGTTTGTCTGAAATAATGAGGGCTATACTTAGAGATTTCTAATTATTGAGAGGAAGGATACGTACGCACCAACTCCTTGACGCCCTTATTCAAGAGAAACCCATGAAATACAAATTCAATGGATATATGCACGTAGAGTGAATTAATTTTTAGGTCCATTTTCACCTCACCTTTATCAAATTTTTTAGACAAAAATGGTACATAATTCTTTAAAGCTGCTACAGAGTGCAAAAAAGTCTTGATCAAGTTACGGAAAAATTTACCGGTACCGGGTATTTTCTTATCGTAACATCCATTTTTATGTTAAAATTTTTTGGATCAAAATATCTGATATGCCGTAATTTTTACAGTAACATTTTTTTGCAAAATCACTATAGATAAATAATTATTACCGTAAAATATACGGTTTAAAATTTCACGGTAAAAATGGCTTTTACGGTCATGGTGTCAGTACTTTTTACAGTAATTTCGTCCCAAATTTTTTACAGAGTATAAATATGAAACAAATAAGCGTTTAGTTCCTACATTTCATCGAATATGTATGTGATAAGTAAATACCATAATTCTGTCTAACTCTTTGATGTGGGAAATAACATTGTAGTTGTTGTTCCTAAAATCAGAACTTGTAACAGAAGTGTGTTTCTTTTTATTATATTAACTATTATTTGCAAATCTTTGTATTTCCTCAATGCTTAGACAAATTTTTATTAAGCTATTAAGAATATGCAAAAAAAAAAAAGAAAAATCCAACTATTTGAAATTTATGACTTAGTAAATTAATCTTTCCTAGTTACAATATTATTTAGAAAGTTTAAAAAAAACTTAATCATCTCCAAGTTCACGAGATGCGTAGTTTTAAATCTAAGCAAGAATTTCGTTTTCATTTTTATTAATTAAAACACAATCAATAAAAGAAATATTCATTCAAAACACTGCACAATAATATTCTCTCAAATAACTTCAAAAAATCTCTCAATAACTTCAAATTATTTAATTATCTCAAAATTATTTTTTAGGCTTAATTTCTTTTAAAAAATCGCAATTAAACTTATTTTTTAGATCACAATTAGAATGCATCAGCATAAAATCCCATTATTCCTTTATGCTATTGCAATTTTCAGTTTCTTGATCTGAAACAGTGCAGGATTTAGTTTGCCAATTCTAAATACTTATTTACCGAATTTCAGAAAAATAAAATGATAATTTTAGAACCACTTCTAAAGGTATTTAGTTTTTTAAGTGAAATTGAATAAACCTAAACCGAAGTGGGCAATCAAATTTAAAGTATCAAGGATTTATTTAATCTAACATATTAGAAATATTATCTAACGTATTTCGTTAATATAATTGATTTTTTTTAAAAATCAGTAATGTTATTTTATAAAATATTTAAATTTTTTCACAGTTTTAAAGAAACAGTTTTTGTGTTAAGTTCAATTATAAGTTCTATTTTGTGTTAAGTTCTATTAAGTTCTATGAACTATATATCTATATATATATAGTTTTTGTGTTAAGTTCTATTATATACGATGCATATTGTTTTTATACTTAACATTATCAAAATAATCTTAGATGTGTTAATCTAAAGCATAATACAATTTTAAACTGTTGTCACAAAGTTTACGCGAAAAATAGGCTTGGGTTAACGGATAAATTCCATTCTATATATAATTCGATTCCGAAGAGGGCTCCCGTTCACTGACTAAAGATAAATATTACGTCATAGTGACCATTTTTTTATCACTCTAATTTTCGTTATATTTCCTGTATTGATAGGAATGGACGCCATCATTATGTCATCTTGTATTTCCGCTTCAGAAATATTTTCAGCAAATATTCACCGATTTATTAATGACTATTATGCATAGCAACACATTTCCATGCTTCGAAAGTTATGTGAAAAACTATCGTGAATTATTTGGCAATAAATTTCCTTACGTATAAGTTATGTTGAAAACGATAGTGGATTATTTGACATCGAAATTCTCCAGTTTTAAGTTATGTTAAAAACAATAGTGAATTAATTGGCTACAAATTTTCATGTTTCTAAGTTATGATAAAAAATGATGTTGGGTTAATTGGCCACAAATTTCCATGTGAACAAGTATTGTTAAATAAGGCAGTGGATTATTTGGCATTAAAATTCCTTACTTATAAGTTGGAATTCTAGAGCCAAAGTTTAAAACGATAAATAATTTAAAAAAAACGATATTGGTTATTTGATAATTTTCTTTATGTTGAAAATTTTTAATTTAATTAAATTGATTTTAATTAAGTTGCATTTAACTCTTTGACAAAGATGTATGTTTTGCATAGCCTACAGAACATTTTGCATAGCCTACAGAATTACTACTGAACAACCTCGGCTTTAAACAGAGTTTGTACATGTATATGTGACTCTGTGAGTTTCACATTGCATTTCACACGTTCCCATACTTATGTTTTACATAGCCTACAGAACATTTTGCATAACCTAAAGAATTATTACAGAACAGCAGCGGCTTTAAACAGAGCTTGTGAGTGCATATGTGAATATGTGGGTTTCACTTTACATTTCACACGTTTCAGTACATATGTTTTGCGTATCCAATGTACCACAAATCAACATCGGTTTTCAATAGAGCTTGGGCGTACATACGTAAATGTGTGAATTTAGCGCATTCACGTTGCATTTCGTTCCTGTACATATGTTTTGCTTAACCTTTTTACTACAGAAAGATTTCGGTTCTGAACAGAGCTTGCGCGTGAGTACGAGAGAATGTGCTAAATCTGTCTAAAACAAACTCGCTAGAAATTGAAGTCATCTAAACTCAGATTGGGGTGTGGGGTAGGCAAACTACTTGTTTTGAAAAATGCTCCGAAATCCTGAGAATAATGCTTAGTGTTAAATCAAACTAATAGATATGTATTTCAAATGCATCGTGAGAAAATTTTTTGAAATTGTATGATTAATAAATTGAAAAGCAATAAAATAGAGATTAAAAAACGCTATATTTTTTAGCGGGAAACAAGTGCAATGACAGGAACATCTGTTAATTTCTCACTTGCAAAACACGTGTAAAACGTTTTTCAATGCGTTTCTATATCATCACGTTCTGTAAAAACCATACACGTCACAAATACGTCATAGATTTTATTTTACTTTTTTATTCCAGCATCAGGGATTTTGTTTCTTCTTCTTTACGCATAACACTTTCGCGTAACTCTAAATCCTTACGCAAGTAACGGCTTAAGATAACTCGAATTTGTTTTTGCTCCATTAGTAATCAGAAAAATGCGATGTCAAAATGAAAGATAAACACATGTGTTTTTTCTTGTCGCCTGAGGGTGTTTAGCGCTGTCTTTTTTAAATCTAATTATAAGAAGATTCGAAACTGGAACAAAATCTGTCAAGCCTGACGGTTTATCGTCAAGGTCATTTTTTCCATACCATTGTAAGAGATGTTCATCTACCATCCTTACTTTTGTTACTCGTTTGTTGAAATGCAGTTTTAACGCAACAGTTAACACTACACTGTAAAAAAAATCCAGAGTAAATTATGGTTAAAATACTGGCAGCAACCGGAAAATCGATTTTACTGTAAAATACATTTTTACCTTAAAATTTTATACCGATAATAATTATTTAATTACATTGACTTTACTGTAAATATTACACTAATAATGACGGAATATCAGATTTTCTGTTATGTAAAAATTTACGGTAAAAGGTACCGGCACTCAGTGTGCCAATACTTTTTAACGTAATTTGTTCAGAATCTTTTTTACAGACTATGTAATGAATTTCTTGGTTATACAAAGCAGTAATTCTAAAGGTGTTTTCTTTCTTTTCTTTTTCCCTTATTTTTTTCTCCATCGACTTCTTTTTTATTTGGCGTATATAAATAATCTTACTGCACTAAAAAAAAAGTTATGATCAAAAATACCAGAATATGGTAAAATTTATAGTATTTTTGGTTCTATGGGAACATCAAAATGCAAGGTAACTTTCGTTGAAGCGCTCTGTTAATGATTTAGGTAAAATTAACAATAAAATATGTTTTTATTTTTTGCGTTAAAATTTATTAAATGTGGTAAAATTTGGTAATATTATCATGCTAACTTAGAGCATGGCATAAAAACAATTTATTCGATTAAATTTACTTCTCAGTTAGTATTGTTTAGTAAATGCATGCTAATAAGAAGTATAATTTTGAGAACCAGAATTTATGGTAAACCGTTATCACGTGAATGGAAAAAACTCCAAATAAACATTTTAGTTTTTAATACCAGAATCATGGTTTATTTTACCAGAAATGACATTACCATACAGTACGTTAATTTTACTAGAATTATTTCCTCCGTGTGCCATAAGTACACCATAGATAGCAGTATTTTGAAAAATGAAATGACATTATTTGATCAGCTATGTGCAAGTCAATCACGTTTTGCAAGTCAATCACGTCACAAATTTACTATTATTTTTCAACCTGCTGCAAAACCGAGGAAAATTAGCCCACTCAAATAATTCATTTAAAATGCTAATTTCAGACGTGTTAATTCAAGATTCTTATTAAAATGCTTTATGAAGACTTATTATTTTGGAAAACAAAATTTGGAATCTGTAGTTCAGACGAACATTCGAAGATTTATTTAACTAAAAATACTTACGGAGTTGTCAACTCTATTTTTCACCGCCAACTTTTGTATCTTTATTGGTAATAATTTTAATAACTACCCACTGATTCTGTAGTAACATATTTTATTAATCACAACGAAGTATAACCGCAATATTAAACTAGAATATTTAATAATATATATCGTTTAAAAAACTATAATGATATATCT